CTGAAAACAGGTGCAAACATGTTTTCACGTGCAGCCCGGAACTTTTTTAGTACTTGTAAAAGTAAGGTGCAAAGTGAAACGCAAAAAATATCTGTGGTAATTTTTTGCCACAAAGGAGGTATTGGTTTTATGCTAGAGGATGGAGAGATATTCTGGATGCATGTAAAAAAAATGGACCATCAGAAATAACAGAAATAGGACAATATTATTATAGAAAAAACATCTAAAATTGACTCAAATTAATTGAGGGCTGTGTGTGTCTGAAAACAGGTGCAAACATGTTTTCACGTGCAGCCTGGAACTGTTGTAGTACTTGTAAAAGTAAGGTGCAAAGTGAAACGCAAAAAATATCTGTGGTATTTTTTGCCAAAAAGGAGGTATTGGTTTTATTCTAGAGGATGGAGAGATATTCTGGATGCATGGGGAAAAAAATGGACCATCAGAAATAACAGAAATAGGATAATATTAATATAGAAAAAACATCTAAAGGTTGACTCAAATTAATTCAGGACTACGGCAAAAAAATCTTTATTCCATTAAGTCAAATCAAAAAAATAACAGACATGAAATGTTGTGACATGTTTATAACAAAATACAATATATCAAAATAGCATGCGCAGAGACAGGTGCAGAGGGGATGCCTCATGTATGTTTGTTTTATTTTGATTTTGTTCATATCCTTTTCAAGATAGGCTACAAGGTGCAGAGTGAATTTTATTTTGTATTATCATTATATATATTTTTAAAAATAATGATCACTCTCCCTGGCTTTGAACCTCATCATTCTCTGATGGACACTCTCATGTGTCAGTAACACATGTAATCTGCTCATTTAATGATTTAATGGTTGGAACCAAATCGGCTTGCACAGCATAACATTTGTACTGCAATCTATGTATTTCATCCAACATATGCCCCCTTATTGCATGTACTAATAAGAATTTGTACATGCAATTTAGCAGATCAAATGTAATAGTAATATTGTTAATATATATGCTTATTTAAACGCAGAATGTTCCAGTTTCTGTCTCTTAAAAGAAAAGATGGTAATGAATGAGATAATACCCTGAAGTAGCCATATTATGATAAAAAAATAGAAATATAAAATGATCTATAATTCCTTTATATCTACCAAAAGGCTTCTTACACTTTCTCACATACATGTAAAAACAGCTAAAGTAAACTCTGAATGAAGAAAAACATTGGTGCACAAAGCATCAAACTTTCCAGAAGGCCACGGAAACTTAGAGCAAAGAAATACTCTTTAGAACATCTAGACTTGACAAGCATCTAAGTTCAAGTACCTACCATGATAGCAATAGTTTATGTGGGGGAGTTGTGATGTCTGTAGGGACTATAAAACAGAAACATCAATCCACCAAAACAAATAATAGTATAAAGAAGCCAGAATAAAACAAGTAATTCCTAGTAGAATATGCAGTAAACATGTGGCAGCATCAAATGATGTGGCTCGGCTAAAAACTTTAAGTTACTTTTATCCATGTTAAGACTATGAATACTACAATAAATCTTTTTTTTTTTTCGATTACTTAAAGCTTTCACAGTTTCCACAGAAACAGTACTCTTGATAAATATCCATAATGTGTCATAAATGTGATAAATCGTTTTCTTAGTGTAGAATAGTCTCAAGCTTAATGATTTAGAAAAATTATTTTCAGATTACTGTTTTCGATGCTAGTAGTCCTCTATCTTGACAGGAAGAAAGGTAGAGGAAAGGAAGGACATGCAATGTCATCTTCGTTAATGTCATTCAGACTGCTATGTTTTAACACACCCCTTACAATTTCATATTCTGTGAAACTGTGCTTTACACACTATCCGCCGGCACCCACTGTTTTAGCTAATATCAGATGTGTGATCTCCCATCTAGCCTACTTAAATCTTATATTCACGCCTGGGAAGGGAAAGGTAGGTCTTTGACACTACAGACAACAAAACCTTTTATATATCTTTATTTTTTTCACATAGTTAAGAACACTACAACATTGTTAATCGACTGATGTATTAATCCACACTTAGTTATGTTTCTTAAAAGTGACTTGTATCTCTCTTCATGTGGTTTTTACAAACAATAGCCTGTAAAACATGGGGTAATTATGAGATAGACAATTGCAGTTTCTCCTTACCTTGCTTCTGCCACATTGGAGAGGGAAGCCCTTCGAAATCCTTGTGGCATGGGTGTGTAAATACAGCTTCAATTAGGTGATTCCCAAAGTGGCTTTTTCTGACTCTTTCCTCTGGTTCAAAACAAGCCATGAGGCATGGTGAGCAAGATTACAAATTAATAAAACAATTACAAATACTAAATGCTTGAGAACTACAGCTTTGGAGTCCCAAACTGTCCATGACAACAATTTACATTTAATGCCTCATCACTGAAATACTAAATTCCCTTGTGTTTTTCAGAAGACCATGTACAGATTGATATTTCTAATCCTACAATTCTGTTGTATGCTCATACTGGCCTCATGCTTGATCAGCAGCTGAGACTATAATGATATGTTTCTTTTTTTTATTTCTTTTTGTTTTTTTGCTTTTTGAAGGTGCTGGTAGTGATGTGAGATAGGTGGGGTTCTCTTTTTGGGGTTAATAATCAGCAAAGTTGTGTGTTGTGTGCAAACTGGTTTATTTAGTGCACCTCAATCAAGGAATTAGCAGGTGTCTTCAACACATTAGGCATGAGCACTGAAAAAAACAATACAATATTTCGTTTCTCATCCATCTGTAATGCAAACCAGGACCACGTGATTGGTGTAGTTGCATCAAACTTCTGCTCTTTGCCTGAGTTTAGTTTTTTCTAGGCCAAGGTCCATGACCATATAGGAATAATAATAAATCTCAGTTCAAAGTGTTTCTTTCTGTTTTCTGACTGTGTCAGAACCTGGAACAGAGGACCTAGAATTCGGAGCAAACAATCAGGCATAATTCTTAAAAGCGTTTGTTAATTAACGTTGGATCTGTAGTTCAGCAGCAAGGGCATCAAAGGTTGGAGTCTCTGTAGAGGAAAAACTCAGGTTAATGACCACGTAAATCTGATCAGAGGACCATAACGAGAGCGTCATTCACTAATCTCGTATGACAGTTCAGTCTGTGGCCAGAAGAAGGAGTGGAATCCAGCCCTCCAGCAAACGCCGCCCAGAGATTTACAGAAGTCAAAGCCTTGAAGACTGCTGAACTGGCTGACGAGCAGATCGAAGCACACGGAAGGTGGTACTATGCGAAAGACAAAGCCAGTAGAAGAGATTCACAGGAGTCAGGAGGCAGATCCAGGTTCAATCCACAGGCAGAATCCAGTATAGGAGTTCAAAGACAGGTGAGGGAAGTAGATCTGAAACAGAAACAGGAAGGCTCAAAGGTCCGATTAGCAAGCAGTTTAAATAGAGATTAGAGTAAGTGACACAGATGAACAGTGATGAGAAATTGGGCAGAGCTAGACAGGTGAATGGAATTAACCATTAAGCCAGTCACCAGTGCCAAGATCATGACAATATTATTAAGATCATGACACTACTATTAATTCTTGGGTGTCCAATGCTGTAGATTTGGCAATTCAAACCCATGCCTAAAGAAGATGTACCTATAATGTCTCCTCTGAAGGGCCACAAAGATCCAGGATCACCCAGCCCAATCTTTATACATCTTTTCCCTTTCGGCAGAGCCAGAGTTATGTGAGCATGTATCGAGTGATTTAAATTTTTTTTTACTTTATTTATGGTTGTGAATGTTTTTTGTATAAATACACAACATTCACATAGATAAACAATAATACCTTCTGATCCTGTAAATGGTCTAAGAAACCTTTTTGCACAGACAACTAAGGATTTTGGTGTCTGTCTCTAGGCAACCTTAACAGCAGCACACTGCTGACTTTCTCGTGGAATACATTTGGGTTTCATTATTTTTACCTCTAGTGCTGATGTGTACACATATCCAAATCAGATAGAAAATAGATATAAAATAACACACAAATAAAATCCATGTTAGTTCAATATTGGAGGCAACATTTACTTTGCAAATAAAATAACATTATTTTAGTCGGGGAATGGGAAATCTAGCTGTTGTCGAACCATCAGCTTGTAGACAGTTAAGACCCTTTGAACATTCTAACCATTACTGTTAACTTTATAACCTCAAATAGTTGTCAGAAAACATGGCAGGACACAGAAAATATTCTATAAGATGCTCATTTAGATGAGATCAAAAAACATTTTGTGTCCAAGTGTAAAAAGCATTGTTCTGGCAAATAAATAATAATTTATGTGACCTCGAACCGTGACACACATTAACACACTGATGACAGTGACACACTAGGGTTGCATCTCCTAAGCTGAAACAAAGACTGGTAAAAACAGTTATGGAAAATGGATGGACTTTAAAATAGGGCTATCCTGATATAAAACTAATGTAGGCTGCAAAATACCTGAGGTTGGAGAAGAGGCCTAATAATGATAACATTTATCATTTCACAACATAATTAAACTTTTAATTGCTGCTAAAATCCAAATGGAAAACAACAATGGGTTCCTATTTGGCTAAAAAAGTGATTTCTTTAACAAACCAAATTTTGTTACAAAACATAGTTTAATAGCAGAAGATTCATATCACTTGAACATGAATCAAATTTAGTGTTTTGCAGGCCATTTTAAAACCAGATAAAAATGACTTAATATGCTTTGGCATTCTCTGATGGCTTTGACAATTACAGTGGTTTGGCAGAAGTCAGTCAAGAGGGTGATAACCTGACTGAAATTTCTTAGTTCAGCTGGGCCCTATCATATGGTGTGTTTGTTTCAACTTTAAACTGCTTTCTGTATCCATCCCTGGAGTAACCAAGACTAACTCTGCAATTATTCATAATTCAGGAGATGTCTGCAGCAAACAATTCACACACAAGAACTGTTAACATGGGAGCTCTATTTACTTTATAGCTGTAACCGCATTTAATGAGCATTTTACTGAGTCAATAGACCACAGCACACTTTAAGATTTACAAAAAAGTTAAATATTTATTGGTCTCTCTTTTTTATGATTTTCGATACATTTGCAATGTAAGCTAAACATGGAGTAAGAAGGGATATTACGTGGATGAGATCCAATCACCATTTACCACATTTTCCCATCCCCAAAGAAACAAACAATGAACAAATAAGATAAATGGCTAATAAATTTGAAAACAAAATGAAATAAACATATTTTACATACTTGCAAAAAATATGTAATATATTTGCCTGCTCTTGTCACAAAGTTGACCAACAGCCAGCTTCATAAAACAGTCATTTTGTTTTGTTTTTTTTGTGAACCCCCATAGTGTTTTGTGCCTAGGTGCTGCACACATGGTTGCAGTATCTGACCTTCAAAGTTTTCCTTTTTTAAATAAACCACAAAATACAGGAATGGTTAATCAGACTAAAATGTACTTCATCTTCTTTTTTGCATTCTTCCTCAGTAGGACTTCATACAAAACTGTTTTTCTCTGTGTACTCTTTGTATGGCTCACTTGCCACTTCAACACCAGAATTTTGTGAAGTACTCTGGCACTGAAGTCTTTTCTTCTCATCCTTTATTAAAGTTGTTCCTCATTATTCGTATGCAAGATTAAGAGTAAATTTTTGCTGTTAACCACTGCATGAATAAATAAATAAATAAAGATGAATAAATATATGAACTCTTCTTTCTTTAAATATGTGTATATAGAGTGCACTTCCAAGAGTCCTGCCCAAGTAATAACAATCCTCTTAACTCTCAGTAGTGTCATAGCTTTAAATGAAGGTTTTTATGTTTGGGAGCAGAAAATTATTCCTTTACAAACAAAAAATGAGTAAACACCATGTTTTCCCACATGTCAACCTCAAATTGAAGATTAAAAAACAAAAGTATAGAAAAACACAGCAAAGCATGTTTTCTCAGAGCTCCAAGTCTACTTCTGAGGATCACCAATATGAGATAAAGAGGCTGCACTCTGACTTAAAGAACTACACAGGGTTAACTCTGATTAACTCAGGTGAGTGCAAGAGGGTCAGTTTCTGAAAAAACAAAAAAGGGAACAGGGAGTGTTTAACTGTCCTTCTGTAAATAAGAAACTGTGCTAGGATGCTTCCTCCTCGGTCTTTCCTGGAGCATAGTAGCCTGCAAGTTGCCTAAAACGTGGCCCCCAGTCGCTGAGGTAGGAGAAATCCAGTTCAGATGTTGTGGACAGTGTGTGGATTGAACTCAGTGAAAGTGCAGGTGAACTGGTGCCCTCAAAGGCATATGTCTGGAATGAGTCATATGGCGGCACAGACAGGTCGGCATCAGCCTGCTCCACCTTTTTTCGTATGTAGCCTTTGAAAAGAGAGAAGTCTGTTGCTGCTGCCATAGTGCCATCCACCGCCCCTCCCACTCTATTTGCCTGTATCCATTGTGGCAACGAGCAGATGTCTGGACCAGAGTCACAGTTTTTGGCCTCTGGGAAGTCATAAAGGTTCCTCAGAGCGCTCATGTCATATGCCTGAGTGTCCTGCTCGCCTCCGCCTTCGTCATTGTATTTGATGACGTTATCTCTCATGTCTTCCTCATCCTCTGCTATCCTTTGGCCTTTCCTGTGGCGTTTCAGAGTGAGGATCAGCAAGACTAAAACTGAAAAAGAGGAAGACAGCAAGAGAAGAAGATACCACTTAATTGAAGATTTAAAATGCCAATAAATAGACTTTTTTTAAATATTCAATGTAGATGGTTACATATAGAACACGTGAACATGGAAATATGAATCAGTGTTTACAAATCTTGAAACTTGGGATATTAATCTTCATTTTATTGAACAGAAGAACTCGAGGCTGAGAACCTGTGCAACAGAGAACATGACTTAAATGGGTTTGTCAAATTTGCCTTGTGGATGATAGCTTTGGAACTATTTAAAGTTTATTCCTACTTTTTATAATCAACTTTGATTAATTCTATTTATGTGATGAAGTTTTCCATTTCAAATAGTTTGGCATTGATTTTTTCCACAACTTTGATGCCTTCAAAAAGAATTGGGCTACAAAAAGCATAATGGTCGCCAATAGCACATCAATACTTATTTAAGTTTGATAAAATGTAGACGTTTTGGTTCTTAAACCTAAAAAAGCAAAAGGAAAAAACTATTTGAGACTTGAGTGTAAACAAAAAAAATTATGGATCATGATGATAAAGGGGGAATAACCGCAATTAAGTCTGATTGTATGGCTAAATATAATGTGAATGTGTCATGATCTCGGCGCTGATGGTTTGGTTTTTTCCTTTGCTCCTTGCTTTCCTGTCTAATTGGTTCTGCGGCTGATTATTGCCGATCATTTCCACCTGGTTCCTCTACTATTTAAGTTGTGTGTTTGCCTCCCATCAGCGCCGGGTTATTCTTGTGTTTTTGAGATACGTTCCCCAGCAATCTGTAGTCTGCCTGTTTCCCTGATAGTGACCAGTTTCTGCCCTGAGGATTTCGAGTTTTTTGCCTTGCCCCTGTCTGCTCTGTTTGTCCTGTCTGATCCTGGATTCTACCGGCTTCTGAACCTGGAACTGTCGTCTGACTTCGGCCTTGGATTTCCCCTCTGGACTCTGTTGCTGCTCGGCGTCTGCTGCGCGCTCTCTAGGAACTCTCGGGGCGTCTCCCGCCGCACCTGCGGTCAAACCTCAGCAAACGGACTGAACTTTGAATCAGGTCAGTGACTTTGCTCCAAATCGTGTTAAGCTCCATATCCAGTCACTGATCTGTATTCTCCCATTTCTGCAGAGAGCCGCCCCGCAGCAGACGAGCAGCCCCGCGCACCTGTTTTTGCTAAATAAACGCTTTGAACTTTCCCACTGCCTGTCTCGCCTCGAATTCTGGGTCCTACATTCTGAGATCATTACAGAATAACCCGGCCATAAACATGGACCCATCGGCAGACGGGCAGTGGCGAAATGACGTGGATCAGAGCATTTCCCGTCTAGAATCTGGCATGCAGGAGATCCTCAATTACCTGCGTAACCCGGCGGCTCCAGCTGCTCCGCCCGTGACAGCTGCCGCGCGCTCGTCTTCTACTGATAGTCCACCTTCTCTTGAACCGCGTCTGTCCCCTCCTGAAGTGTTTAAAGGGGATCCTGACCAATGCAGAGCTTTCCTGACTCAGTGCGAGATTCTTTTTGAGTTACAGCCCTCTGCATTTCCTTCTGATCGTGCCAAGGTGGCCTATGTAATATCTCTTTTAGCGGGAAAGGCCAAATTATGGGGAACGTCAGAGTGGCTGAATGATCCTGAACTCTGCAGCTCGTTTGATGATTTTTCTTTGGAACTAATCCGAGTTTTTTGTCCAGTTCTTCCAAGTAGGGAAGCCTCCCGGGGACTATTGACTCTCAGACAGGGAGATCGGTCTGTGATGGAGTACATCACTGACTTCCATCTGCTGTCTGCCGATTGTTCCTGGAATGAGGACGCCCTCATGGATGTGTTTTTTTTTGGCCTGCGGGAAAGCATCAAGGATGAGCTTTCGACCCGCGACTACCCCCGGACTCTGAAGCAGCTGGAGGACCTTGCCAACCGGATCGACCTTCGCCTCACTGAGCGTCGCAGGGAGAGGAGAGCACTGACGACGGCCTCCCCTCAACCTGTTCTTCACTCCGCACCCTTTGCTCCTGCATCAGCCCCTGGTCCGGCTCGGATGCCAGAGCCCGAACCGATGCAGCTGGGACGCACATGCCTCTCCAAGGAGGAGAGGGCACGTCGAATCAGCTGCCACCTCTGTCTGTACTGTGGCAGTGATGGACACTTCCTCAGTTCCTGTCCTTCCAGGGGAAAAACTAGGCTGGGACGCACCAGACTCGCTGCCTCCCCAGCTCTCCTGCTACCTAAGACTCGTTTGGTTTCTTTCAGAACCCCAGACCCTCCAGTAGCCTCGGCCCCGGCACCCCCGGAGCCTGGTCCGGATTATTTTTCTCCCCCTTCTTCTGAGTCTGGTTTGGTGGATTTTTATTATGGGGATAGAGAAGATCTTTATCCTTTCCGTTCACCTCCACCCACCAGATCCAGAGAGGGGGGCCCTGCCTTCACTGTCAGGCGCCTCCTCAGGTCTAGGAGGCTAGGCAGTGGGCTTCAGTATTTGGTTGACTGGGAGGGTTATGGACCTAGGGAAAGGTCCTGGATTCCGGCCCGGTTGATCCGGGATCAGGACCCCCACTACAGGGATCATCCTGATCAGCCTGTTGGGGCGTCTGGAATCCGCCCTTGAAGGGGGGGGTTCTGTCATGATCTCGGCGCTGATGGTTTGGTTTTTTCCTTTGCTCCTTGCTTTCCTGTCTAATTGGTTCTGCGGCTGATTATTGCCGATCATTTCCACCTGGTTCCTCTACTATTTAAGTTGTTTGTTTGCCTCCCATCAGCGCCGGGTTATTCTTGTGTTTTTGAGATACGTTCCCCAGCAATCTGTAGTCTGCCTGTTTCCCTGATAGTGACCAGTTTCTGCCCTGAGGATTTCGAGTTTTTTGCCTTGCCCCTGTCTGCTCTGTTTGTCCTGTCTGATCCTGGATTCTACCGGCTTCTGAACCTGGAACTGTCGTCTGACTTCGGCCTTGGATTTCCCCTCTGGACTCTGTTGCTGCTCGGCGTCTGCTGCGCGCTCTCTAGGAACTCTGGGGGCGTCTCCCGCCGCACCTGCGGTCAAACCTCAGCAAACGGACTGAACTTTGAATCAGGTCAGTGACTTTGCTCCAAATCGTGTTAAGCTCCATATCCAGTCACTGATCTGTATTCTCCCATTTCTGCAGAGAGCCGCCCCGCAGCAGACGAGCAGCCCCGCGCACCTGTTTTTGCTAAATAAACGCTTTGAACTTTCCCACTGCCTGTCTCGCCTCGAATTCTGGGTCCTACATTCTGAGATCATTACAGAATGGGCTTAGTTCATTTAGAAAAAACAGATATCTACAGATATCTACATCTGCAGTGCGTTGATGACGTATCTTCCTCTGTACAGATTTATTCTGTTTATTTTGATGTCTAGTAAATCTATATATCAAACAAAATCATATATCTGGTACTATATCACTACATACACTCACCGGCCACTTTATTAGGTACCCCATGCTAGTAACGGGTTGGACCCCCTTTTGCCTTCAAAACTGCCTCAATTCTTCGTGGCATAGATTCAACAAGGTGCTGGAAGCATTCCTCAGGGAGTTTGGTCCATATTGACATGATGGCATCACACAGTTGCCGCAGATTTGTTGGCTGCACATCCATGATGCGAATCTCCCGTTCCACCACATCCCAAAGATGCTCTATTGGATTGAGATCTGGTGACTGTGGAGGCCATTTGAGTACAGTGAACTCATTGTCATGTTCAAGAAACCAGTCTGAGATGATTCCAGCTTTATGATATGGCGCATTATCCGGCTGAAAGTAGCCATCAGAAGTTGGGTACATTGTGGTCATAAAGGGATGGACATGGTCAGCAACAATACTCAGGTAGGCTGTGGCGTTGCAACGATGCTCAATTGGTACCAAGGGGCCCAAAGAGTGCCAAGAAAATATTCCCCACACCATGACACCACCACCACCAGCCTGAACCATTGATACAAGGCAGGATGGATCCATGCTTTCATGTTGTAGACGCCAAATTCTGACCCTACCATCCGAATGTCGCAGCAGAAATCGAGACTCATCAGACCAGGCAACGTTTTTCCAATCTTCTATTGTCCAATTTCGATTAGCTTGTGCAAATTGTAGCCTCAGTTTCCTGTTCTTAGCTGAAAGGAGTGGCACCCGGTGTGGTCTTCTGCTGCTGTAGCCCATCTGCCTCAAAGTTCGACGTACTGTGCGTTCAGAGATGCTCTTCTGCCCACCTTGGTTGTAACGGGTGGTTATTTGAGTCACTGTTGCCCTTCTATCAGCTCGAACCAGTCTGGCCATTCTCCTCTGACCTCCGGCATCAACAAGGCATTTCAGCCCCCAGAACTGCCGCTCACTGGATGTTTTTTCTTTTTCGGACCATTCTCTGTAAACCCTAGAGATGGTTGTGCGTGAAAATCCCAGTAGATCAGCAGTTTCTGAAATACTCAGACCAGCCCTTCTGGCACCAACAATCATGCCACGTTCAAAGTCACTCAAATCACCTTTCTTCCCCATACTGATGCTCGGTTTGAACTGCAGGAGATTGTCTTGACCATGTCTACATGCCTAAATGCACTGAGTTGCCGCCATGTGATTGGCTGCTTAGAAATTAAGTGTTAACGAGCAGTTGGACAGGTGTACCTAATAAAGTGGCCGGTGAGTGTATATCACTACTTAGGTTATTATTATTATTATACACATTATTATTTCTATTGGCACCAGGAGATACGTTATATTTTCCTTGTATATTAACTAACACATTTTCTGTCTACAGGAATAAGTGCACTGACTGCAGTAATGTGACGATCTAAAGGAACTTTAAATATGTTTAGCTACTTTAGCAATAAATTCCATTTTCACAGAAACCAGAGACATATTTTAACTAGTGTTGCGCCGATGCCATTTTTTGGCCCCGATACCGATACCCGATACCTGGCTGTGCAGTATCGGCCGATACCGATACCTTAATAATGTAAAATAATTTCCATCATGGCTTTGTCAAGCTGCTGCTTACCTTTGG